CTGCGGTTGTTCCCTTCTGGTTAGCCACAAACGCACAAAAGCACTCTGTAAACACATGTAAATAAAATGGTATGGTGTGTTCGGGTGATTTCCTTTTTCAAAAAAAGTTTCACTTTGGTTCCTTAAATAATAACAGAGCTGATGCTAACACACATGCTAACATGTCATGTCTCCAGTTGTCTATCACTTATTTTAGTCAGAAGTAAAACTGTTATTTTATTAAAGTATTAAACAAGTTCTTTTATTAAACAAAAACCTTTTTTTTGTATTGAACGTCAACCACTGCTGTGGCCGTTCAATAAAATAACAACAACAGCAGTGGTTGGCGCTAATAATGCTAATGCTAATCTGAAATATCACATAGTTAAAATACAAATTAGCATATATCTCATTAAGTGAATACAGTGGAAGAAATTAAAATTAAATTAAAATCCAAATACATTCATGTTTCATGTTTGTTGTTATTATTAATTATTTAGGACAATAAATTATTTTTTTTTAAAGAAACTTTTTTTCCCCAAATCACAACCACCATTTATCTTCCTTCATCTGAGCTTCTCACATATTTGATCGAACAATGCGACCTTTTGACCTTGACTGTACCGACCCAGCGGCTGATTATTCTCTCCCCTCAGCTGTGAAATGCGCTGCAGTTTAACTTTTCATATCTGCCTCCACTCTGCGTGTCTGTCGTACGAACTCCGAGCCGTCGGACGCAGGGAGACTGTGAGACCGGTGGACGTGATAATGGAGTGATCAACAGTGACAGGTGAAGTGCTCCGCTCCTCCAGGCTGTTTGCTTTGGTAAGTGCGGTCACCGTCCTCTGACCCCAATGGGAGTTGACATGTGGATCCTCCCTGTCCTCTCTCTCTCTGTCTCTCTTTGTCTCTCGCTCTCTGTATTTAAACATTCAGCAGATTTTCTTTCCTGGTTCTGGTGTTTCCACACTGGGAGTCCCAGCAGAGATTTTGCTTTTCTTTTCCTTTTTTTTTTTTCTAAAACAGCACTTGGCTCCACTTGGTGGGTGGATGTCGGTCCTGGTCGGTGCAGCAGTTGATCGATGATTGGACGGATAATAAATTGAGGGGTTGCCTCATGGATGAGAGGCTGGGCGGAGGAATTGAAAGATGAGCGATAGTCCTACTGGTTCCTTTTATCTTGAGCTCTGGCAGCGTTAGGGATCTTTATAACCTTTAATGCTTCGTACACGTCACTGTGTCTCATTCATCAGCCTGTTATCCCTCAACAAATACACGGGACTCATTTATGTGGAGGACAAATCAATACCTGTGTAGAGTGTATTCACATATGGACCTCTAAAAAATATAAGTCTAACAAAATAAATATTATACTGTGTTGAGTTTGTATGATTAAAGTCGAAATTTCACGAGGTCGAAATGTTCCAAGAATAAAATCAAAAAGTTAAAATGTTAGGAGAAAAAAAAGTCCCACATTTATGAGAACTAATTTATAATATCAGTATAAACCTGTGTAAAAGTGTCTGGTTTAAACCACTCATCGTCAAATCGTCTAATAAACGCTGTTTATCTTGGTGAATACCAGAAGTCACAAACAAGAACCCTTTTTTTCCTCATAAAATTACAAATATTTTCTCGTACATTTACAGCTTTTTTTTTTCTTTAACACTTTGGCTTCATTCTCATTAAATGACAACTTCAATCCCATCATTTGGTGAACTGTTCCCTGTGTCTCAGCGACACCACAGGCAGGTGGACCCACAGCAGACAAGGAAAAACAAAGCTTACTGGAAAGTGCTGTCAAATTCTTCCAGGTGAGTGAAGGACCTCAGAAGATCGCCCCCAGTGGACAATGGCAGTACTGTACGTACAGGTGTCCGTGTAACCCAGGATCAAACTTCACCACATGGTGAATCAAACATCAGTGACTCCTCACTGAGCAGCAGGTTAACTCCTGCTCTGCTGATTGAAGTGACACGCCCTCAGGTGTGTGCAGAAATCAGTGCAGCTGTGAATGAAGAGTCCAGGCTGACACCTGTGTACACGCCCTCAGGTGTGTGCAGAAATCAGTGCAGCTGTGAACGAAGAGCCCAGGCTGACACCTGTGTACACAAACACACACACACACACACACACACACACACACACAAAACCCCACATCTCCAAATCAAATACATGACGATCAACCAGGAGAGCGCAGAGATTTGACTTTCAAAAAGTTCTTCAAATCCATTTGACTTTGTTACTACTTTGTTTTGTGTTTCTAATGAATAAAGTGACGTCCCCTGGAGGACAAATCGAGTACTAAAAAAATACACAATTTGTATATTCGTGTACTGTGTACTGTTTCATCTGCTGATAATTTTATTTTTTTTAATTTTTTCTTTGGTTAAAATATAACTTAATAAGTACAAAACATTTTTAATCCAGATCCTTAGAACTTCGGGGGTCTGTGACGGGCAGCAGCCTGTTCTCTGCTACCACTGACTCTGATTTCCTCATTCCTCAGAGATCACTCTGGGCTCCCGCTGCCAGAGGTGTTGACACGACGTGGAGAAATGTCGCCAGCCGTCAGGAAACCCAGCGGCCCAATCAATCAGTCCGCACGCTCGCCCCCCTGGCCGTATGTGTTTGAATGTGTCGGTGCGTGTGTGTGTGTGCTGACCAATTTGCAAGTGCGAAGTACGTAGGAGGTTGAGGGAGACCTTAAACGCACCATCTTTCACATTTATCAATTACTGCACCCAGGAAGGTTGTGGCTGTCAGGAGGAGCAGGTGGTGTGTGTGTGTGTGTGTGTGTGTGTGAAGTGTGTGTGAGAGACAGAGAAAGGTGATGACAGTAGCGTCGGAGATAGAGACGTACAGTTGTGTGAGAGAGACACGAACAGGTGCGTTCTCCCAGGAAGACGTGGGCTGAGCCGGCGCACTGGCCATCTGAGTGCAGCTGGTGATGGCTGCAGGATAACTAATCAATCTCTACCCGCCTCAGAGAGGGAGACGGAGAGAGGAACAGTCAGACAAGATTAGCGGAGGTGGATGGTGTCAGCCAGTCTCCCTGCCGGCTCCTCCGCAGACCCTGTTAGTCTGTATCATCCTCTCTGCCTGTACGCCACATCTCCCAGAATCAAACAAAATAACTTTTCTGCCCTTAAGTTTGAACAAATTGCTCCGCATTTGACGAAATGGAATAAGCTGAGGCGGTTGTTAGACCTGTCACCTCGCACTCAGAGGGTTTGTGGGTAGAAATGAAGCTTCAACCGCGGCCTGACTGTGTGGAGTGTGAACGTTCTCACTGTGTGTGTGTGTGTGGTTTTCTTCTCTTTTTCTTCTCTTTTTTTTTTTTTACTAGAGCCCTTTACTACTGCTGCTGTTCCAGGGATGGGCTGTGTGTTCGCCACGACCTTTGACCTGCTTGGTGCTAACCATGTCAGCAGTGATTGGCTGAGGCTCCTCCGATAACCCTCAGTAGATGAGCAGGAGAGAATTCATGACTGTCTGTTTGTTTACATGCTAAGTAAAGCTAACCTCCAGCTGTAGACTGGCCTGGACGTCTGTTTGGACGTCTGTTGATCTGCTCCGCCGTTGGCATTGGAGCGCTGGAGGAAATCACACCTTCAAAGGTGGAGATATATTTCTCATATATGTATATATATATATATGTGTGTGTGTGTGTGTATTACTGGGCTGTTCCTGACAGAGATAGAGTCCAGTGGGAACCTGGTAACACTGACATTGTGGACACCTACAGGACACTCATGTCTCTCTATCTTTAATATGATGTTGTCATGTTGAAAATAATAAAACAAATGTGTGTTGTGAATTTGGACTATAGACAGGACTTGATGTAGTTGCTAGTTTCAGGGGATTACTAAGGGTGTGTGATATTAACTTTTTGCCGATATCCAAAATCTTAATTTCTCTGATTCCGATACAGTGGGGCAGTGGTGGTTTTGGGAGTTCAGTGCCGCCTGATCACTAAGGTAATATTATGATGTTAGCATCATCTTTAGAAATTTCTTTATTTTTTTTCTTCACATATTTTCCAATCATGTAAAAATAATGAAACAACAGTCTCTTCGTCTCATTGTTGTGGTTGTTCTGCCCAGTACACAGTCAATGGAAAGAATAAGAATTAGACAGACGATGACTGAGAAGAAGAAGAAGAAGGAGAAGAAGAAGAAGAAGAAGAAGAAGAAGAAGAAGAAGAAGAAGAAGAAGAAGAAGAAGAAGAAGAAGAAGAAGAAGAAGAAGAAGAAGAAGAAGAAGAAGAAGAAGAAGAAGAAGAAGAAGAAGAAGAAGAAGAAGAAGAAGAAGAAGAAGAAGAAGAAGAAGCACAGAACACTTTTCGACTGAAAGTGTTTGGCTAATAAACTGCAGCGTGGCCCATTATACCGGGGGGAAACCAGCACAAATCTTTATCTCAAAGATTCCAGCGATGAACTCAAACAAAACAACCCAAGGATGGGATTTTCTTCCGCTCAAACTTTTAGAACTTTGTAAATCTACTTTCCATCCAAATGTCGCTTGTGCAAATCTTGGCTGCTCCCCTCAGTGGGGGAAGATGTTTTTCTTCTCCCTCCTGCTCTTAACTGTGTACCAGCGGTTCTAGAGGCTGTCATATTGCATCAGCGCTCTGCTGATTACTTCCACCTTGTCTCCCTCGTCAGGAAATGATTCTGACACGCACTCACACCCTGCTTTCTCTGCATCAATATGCGTGCGATGGAAAAACTGCAGACAGTAAATAAATAATGAAAGACAAGGTGAGGAGGGGGGAGGGAGGAGGGGGGAGTCAGGGAGGGAGGAAGGGAGGGAAGCGAGTGGAGGAAGGCGGCTTGATACATGTCGTTCTCTCTCCGTCTTTTACTCTGTCCTGCGTGCAATGCAATGTGGGAAAATGTTTCAGTGTGTTGTGTAATGGTCTACTGTACACAGAGTACACACATGTACACAAACAGAACTGCAACTAAGCTATAATTTTATTAAAATAAAAATACATTTTAATTTGAACCATACAGTCTTTTCTTTTTTTTCAGCTTAGTTTTAAGGCGAATGTGTGGCGACGCAGAGGAAGCGTCCTGAGTCCAAACCTCTAACAGGATTATCACAGAGACTGTGCTGCTGTGGAGGACACACTGAAGGTATAAGCACATCTGATCGGCCCACTCACCTCCAGCACACACCACCGGGGGCAGGGTATTAGACCTGAGTCCTGAACTCATCTCAGTATAAATCGGTAAAAAAAAACCAACCCTGCAGGCAAGTCAGAGACTCTTATTTTGAAAGAGTGATGGACAGAAATGTCCGTCAACACGAAGAGGAAGAATTCAGAAAGTTCTAGTAACTTTAAGTAATACAGGGTATAAACTTGGGGAGGAGTTTGTTTTAACTTCCATTTTTGCTTTGATTCCAAAGAATTTTCAAAGACTAACATTGACAACAGATGCCATAGCGCCCCCTAGAGATTCCGATGTGTCCCTCACAGTTTCTTCTATTGGGACCAGTAACATTAATATTAGCTCCTTTGCTCAAAACTCATGTTTGAAGATTTGTTTCTTAAACTGTTCATTGCCCAGAACTGGAGGCTGAAACCGTCGCAGTATTTACGGTGAGTATTCTGTAGTAGTTGTAGTTTTCATTAATATTCCAATCACTCGCCAGATTCTTCCACCTGTTTCTAGATCATCCTGTTCCTGTTCTGTTGGTGTTTTTTTTTTCTTTTTTTTCATTGTCAAATCACTCCAAATCTCCAACCTACTTCCGAACACCTGCTCTCCGTTTCCCTCATCTGGTCGTCGGTGTTTTTATCAGCACTTTTCTCTGCGTCACCTGCTGGAATGTCGCAGTCTGTTTCCCCCTGTGCTGCTCGTTCTGTGGACTGTGAGATTTGTGGTCAGGGGCTCTGCGTCAGTTCAGGTGAAGAAGCCATCTGCCTGTGGCTCCCAACTGGAGGCTGGAATCATTCTAACCTCATTTGCTTGTCTGGTACGAAAAGTACACGGAAAAAAAAAAATACAGAACAAAAAAATAAATTAAATTAGTGAGAGTACACCTCACCGAGTAAACTTATAACTTAATTAACCAACACTGTGTGTTTTTATTTATTTAATTAAACAGTTTAAACACAGGGATCTACCGGTGCCAAAGCTCCGCTCACTTTCTGTCCAGGTGTCTGTGTTAGCGTTCTGTTAGCTACCTTTGTTTTATGTCTCTTTATT